TGAATTAGAGATGAGTGAAACTGAAAACCAAAGTACAGCTTGTGAGAGATGCCTGGGTGGCTCAGTCAGTTAAGTGTCTGCCTTGGGCTCAGGTCATGATCCCAGGGTCCTGGGATCGAGCCCTGCATCAGGCTCCCTGCTCACCGGGGAGTTTGCTTCTCCCTCTGCCTGCCACTCTGCCTGCCACCTGTGCTCTCTCTCTCTGACAAATAAATAAAAATAATAAAAAAAAACCCCACAAAGTACAGCTTCGGAAACGATTGCAGTTATTTCAAAGAGGTATGGAGAGCATGGTCAGCGAAAATGGAAGGAGAACATTTTTAGGGGAACTACAGAAGTTGGAATTGATCAGGTATAGGGGTGGAGTGGGGATTAAGGAAAAGAAGGTATGAAAAATGTTCCTGTGAGTAGTTGGTGATGACACACCAAAATTTCAAAATCCAGGTGTTATCATATAATTTTAAGCAGAGAAATTACTCTTATAGCATAATCCAATTCTTGTTTTTCACCTGTCATATAATAAATCCCTGATGGAATTAGGGATCCACCTGAGTCATACAACTCGTTTATTGTAAGGCAGGGACTTGAATCGAGGTCCAGGTTCTCCTGTCTATTCTTTAGATTTTGAAGTAAGAATCCCTTACTTTAACATGTTGATTTTCCTGTGAAACCTTAAAATTAGGCTGATGTTTTTATGTTCCCAGCATAGTTGGATTAAGTAAATTAGGTTAATACTTTTATTTCTTTCATAACTGTCTTCAGGATTTATGTTGTGAGGGACGCCTGAATATGTACCATGAAAACAGTAATACATGAGAATCTTAACAATGCTTTCTGATTACCTTAGTGGTTTTCTAACATTTTCCAATTAAATCCTTCTGATTTAACTCTGCTGAGATCAGCTTGATATTATGGCCTCCAGGGATCTGACATAAGGAAATACATTCCAACTAAGAAAGTTTAAGTAAACTAGAAATCCGAGAAGCTAGAACTTAAACCAGGCTTTCTATTCCCAATCATAAATAGCTTCTAGTTGTAGGAAAAGATGTAAATTTTTTCCTTTAGCAGGATACAATTCGGAGGTGAACAAAAGCTTAGTGATCAATTATTCCATGAGTTGGCAATTTTTTTCTGGAAAGGATATACAGTAAATACTTTTGGCTTTGCCGGGGATAGTTTGTTTCAAATGTTCAGTTCTATTGTATTGCAAAAGCAATCATAGGCAATATGTAGAGGAATGGGTCCAACAAAACTTTCCTTACAAAAACTGGTTGTAAGGCTGGATTTGACCCATAGAATATAATTTACTGATCTTCTCACCTCTAGTCTTATTCCTGAGAAGAAAACTGTAGTCTCCCTAGAGATTATTAGACTTGTCCAAACTTCTTTTGGCTGGAGCCCAGAAATCTATTTTATTTTACTGCTTTTGATTCTAGTAAAAGAGCCACTTAATAATATCAGTCTAATTGAAGATTTGTCTTCCCCATCCTTAGCACTGTAAGACCAATTCTAGTTGGTCTTTCTGTGGTGCTCATGGAATTAGTTTAGGTAGTCAGTAATGTCTTAATTGTGCTGGCAATAGTTTCTTGGTTATATTTTTCAATGGAGATTTGCAGACATCCAGTCCCTTGACTGTTGGTCTGCCTTTCTTCCAGATTACGTACTTTGTGGCACTCTGCAGTACTATGTAACAAAGTTTTACTAAGCAAACTCCACAGCAATTGTATCAATTTAACTTTGCAGAATAGCAACTAAGACTCATAACAGATCACAGGAAATCCTAGAATTGTTCCTTGTATCTCCTTCAATCTCATGTTCCAAGGGAGCCATGATTAATTTTAAATTGATAATGGTAAATTGATACTTACCATAAGAAATAAACATTTATATAATTGTGCCAGTTAGTTTTCATCATTCTTTTAAAAAGATGCAACGTATTTACACAAAATAGCATAATTTAAGACAACCAAATATTTTCCAAGTGCTTTTGATTTGTAATTCAAGTTGATTCTGCTGGCAACCTTAGTCAAAGGCCAACATTTTACTTCTGTGTCAGAGCCCTAAGATTTGATTTTAGAAAACCTATCTTTATTACATTTTCTGCTTCTAAAGGACTCTGTGTTTTATATTAAAGTAGGCCAGTTTTGTTCCTCCACGGTGCTTGGCGTTTAAAATAGAAGATTAAAAACAAGATAGGAAACTTTTCTGTTTAGAGTTATCCGCCTTCCAACTGTGTGTGTGAGTGTGTTTGTGTGTGTATGTTCCAAACTTCAAATATCAACTACTTGTTAGCATTCTAACCACATTGTTTTAATTTTAAATACAATTTGATGATATACATACTTCCAATTTAGCTTGATTTTTTTCCCTCATAGAAGAGGAAGTGAAACTATTTGCACACCATTATGAAACTCACCTTTAAATCCAAGAGGGAAGCCACAAAATGAGCCTTGGGGTCTACCATTTGTGTCTAAATTCTAGTTTTGCCATCTCTGCTATAATAACTGAGTTCTTGTATGATCATACATATTCGAATCCCTGGTGGTTGCTAAGAGAGAATACAAATGCAGAATGAAACCTAAGATCAGGGGCGCCTGGGTGGCTCAGTCATTAAGCATCTGCCTTTGGCTCAGGTCATGATCTCAGGGTCCTGGGATCGAGCCCCACATTGAGCCCCGCATCGAGCCCCACATCGGGCTCCCTGCTCTGTGGGAAGCCTGCTTCTCCCTCCTCCACTCCCCCTGCTTGTGTTCCCTTGCTCACTGTCTCTCTCTGTCAAATAAATAAAATTGTTCAAAAAAAAAAAAAGAAACCTAAGATCAATCAGGCAGTGGTAGTCTTCCCCATTTAAACAGGCTTAAAGTAAATACAAAGTTAAGGAGAAAATATAGAAATTATTTCCCAATGATGTTGTAAGAATAACCTAATATTACATTGGTATTCAAAGATGGAAGAGAAAACATATTGGGAACTTCAGAAAAATTGTTTAGAAACTATGCATTTTGATAATCAGGTGTTGAGAATTACTGCAAAGGAAAGGAAAAAAATGGATATTGTGGAAATTTTTGTAAACATTTTTGAGAATATTTGGAGTGATAAAATTAGGCTGAAGGAAAAGAAAAAGAAAGGAAAAAGAGAAACTATAACTAAGGTAGACAGAAATAAATGAAAAATTTAATTTTATTTTTTTAAGATTTATTTATTTATTTGAGAGAGAGAGAGAAAGAGAGAGAGCATGAGTGGGAGTGGCAGAGGGAGAGGGAGAGAGAATCTCAAGCAGGCTCCACACCGAGTGGGGAGCCCAATGCAGGGCTTGATCTCATGACCCTGAGAGCATGACCTAAGCCAAATCCAAGAGTTGGAAGCTCAACCAACTACACCACCCAGGCACCCCAACAATTTTATTAAACAAAACCAAGTTATGCTTCATAGATTGTATTACATTAAAACACAAAACAAAACAAGTGTGGCTCTATTTTCACATTCTTGGTAGATTTCATCTCTTTGGAATCAAGAAAACACATGTTTAAAGAAACTGGAAAAGGTTGAATTTAATGGCAAAATGTTAATACCATTATAAGGTACAGTTGACTTTCATTATAGTTCGATAAAGTCTTAGTTTCTATCTCTATAAAATAATTATTTACACAGACAATTATAACCAGCTTTGGTGTACGGTTCCACTGATGACCATTGTCATTACTGAGATGCAAGACGCCAAGAGGAATATTTATTGTTATGTTGTATCTTCATTCTCATAAGAAGTAAGCTAGTTAAGGATTGATTTGCCCTAATTAGTACATGGTTCTGTTAAGTATTGAGTTCAAGAAAGGGGAGAAGCATATGTTTTCTACACAAAAATGGTAGCACTTTTCTGGAATATGGATTCAGTCTTGATAGATTATATATATATTTTACTCAGTTCTTGAGCTTGAGAGTTCTCTTAAATATAAATTCAGGTTTTTATATTGTTACCAAAGGATTCTTTAAATATTGTTACAATCTACAGTTTTATATTAGAAGCGTTTATTTAAATACTCATAATTTGTTGCTTTGGGCCAAAGTCCATTGCAGCTTGCGGAGTAAAAAAAGGTTCACCTCACACCTTAAGCATCTTAGGTATTTTAAGCAGAATGAGTTTTTGAATATTAAAAAAACTATTTTCCAAATGAATTTTACTTCAGATAAGTATATTTCTCATTCTAGTTTGGCTCTACTTTTGGTGTAATCAAGTAGAAAAAGAGTTAATTATTTGAAAAATAAAGTCTTTTTGTAAAGCAGTAAGAAAATTGTCTTTCCTAGAGTTGTTCTTGAATTATTTGAATTATCTTAACAAAGAGCAGCATCATTTCAAAACAAAGTACAGAATAAGGGGTCATGTGTAAGATCTTATAACTTGAGAGGTCCTTGAGTATATATTCTTGGATCTAGAAAAGCATAGTGACATCTGTCTTTGATTATAGTTACATGGATAAATTCAAATTTTAGAACTGTATTTAAAACATTTCAACATACACAATGATATTATGTTCTTGGAATATGGCACATGGTGGTAATTTTTAATATAATTATACATGTCTGGTTGTCTTTGAAATAAATTATTAAAAAGAAGACATTCATGGCAAAATCAAAATTTCTCATGGTTTAAGTCCTGTTTATCTTAAAAAATTCAAAATAAACTCTTTGAATAAAGATTTCTGTTTGTTTCACAATTATTTCAATTACTTTATTGAAACTTTGCTTTAATTATTAAAATGTTTACTTTTAACTCCTGACATAGTGCTCCTATATTATCAAACATTAATGAGAACGAGAAGATATTTTCTTTTTTTCAGGTGTTTGCTAAGAAAAAATATTAAGGGAATACTAACAGAAAAAAAAAAAGAATTAGCTATGAATCTGTATTCATGGTAGTCCTGGGTTCCTTATCTCCAGGAATCAAATTACTGTGTGCAGTTACAGTCATTTTACTTTTTGTGTCATTTTGCTCCAATTTGCAGATTGTTTTAAATTTTACCACAATGGACCTATACAAAAGCAGTTTGTGCTGGTATGACTACATCGAAGTGAGAGATGGGTACTGGAGGAAATCACCTCTCCTTGGTAAGAGACTCTTTACCTCCTCTGTGGTCATGCATATAGTTTGTCCTTGGAAGTAGATTCTTTTAAGAGTCATCTTGGATTTCAAAATGTATGTGGCCCACATCTTAATTTTTATTATACTCTTTTCAACCACAGCAAAATACGGACAGATAAATAGAGAGATTGATTTTAAACTAGCTTAAATTATGAGGAAATACTTGGATCTGAATGTAATGATTGAGAATAGCCTCCAAATATATTTTTAATTTGATAAATCATCGCTTTAATGAGAAAACCAGATAAATGATGTGGGTGCACGTGTCGTGTTTTGTTTTGTTGGCTAAGGGGGTAGAATGTGAGCCACTAGGTCCATGTTTGGTAGCTGATTTCTTCTGCCACCCATGTTAGCTCTCACTGGGGATGTCACGGTTGTGCTTCTCAGAGAGTTTTTGTGGCTGAGAAGAGGCATTTGTACTTTGTGTCATAAATTGTAGCTCAGATTTGGTGCTCACAAAAGTCTGCTGCCAACGTTTAACCACAGACCACGCCATTGACTTGCATGAGGCACTTTACTGTTGCCCTCTGTTTTACTTAAAGGTGAGAGCTGTTGTGAGCATGTAAGCATCTACTTCAATATTGATTTTTTTTGAAATGGCAACTTTTCCTTTATTTTTAGAGGTAGCTTTGCTCAGCTGTGCTTATGTGCCTTACAGTTCTTTTTATCTTAACATCCAAAACCCACTGAATGTATACTGTTGTATTAAAAGTCTTAGGTCCAAGACATATAGAGATGTTTAAAAATAAGAAAAAAAATAAAATTGAACGAATGTGATAAGTCAGGTTGAAGAAAATATTGTCTTGAACACTGCATTTCTTAGCCTAGGTGAAGCAATCTGTAATATACGTGTGTGTGTTCCAAAGAAAACATTTCATTAAATTCATATTGAAGAACCAAATCTAAAGCTAAATAGTGGAGCACATTTCTTTTAGAACACCAGCAGCATTACATGCTTTGGCGTATAGTGGGCCAGCAGACTGGTTCAGTGTGGGCATCGTTTTCATGTGGAAAATTTTCCCCATTACTTCCCCTGAGACCTGTCCCTTGAAGTGTACCTGTCAGACAGGCAGCATCAGGATCACTTGTTAGAGGGGTAGAAATCCAGGCTCCATTCCATACTTTCTGAATTAGAGACTGTATTTTAACAGACTCCCTGGCATTTCATATGCACATTGCAGTTTAAGAAACATTGCTCTCTTTTGCATGCCCTTAATTTACTTTGCCATTTAGGAAGACAGTTCTTCGCCTGTTGACTGTTAGTATGAATTTGTTTTAAGTCGACTACCATTTTTCATATACTGAAGCTACGTATGATAGCACTGCCAGGGGCATGCAGAAATGGATGGCAATGTATTATTGTCGGTAAAATTATTTCATGTGGATTGCCAGATTTAGCCATTTGCTCATATATGGAAATTTAAAGCACAGTGAAGACACACAGTTAGCCAATATATATTTATGGGAGGTTGACCGACTGCACTGCAGATTATGACTTTGTACATGGGATGGAATGTATGCAGTACTATAAGACCCCCAGAGCAGCATGTGAGTCTCCCTGGTGGGTCATAGTCAGACCCTACAGGACAAAGAACTCCGCTTTGGGCTGAGACACATCCCTAACCAAGCTACTTCTCTGCAAGGACCGGTCTGATAATTGGAGCCAATTTCTCAGGATCACTTGTACTTTTTTCTGTTCCCTATGAAAGAATATTCCCTACCTTGATGTATCATGTGACCTTTTACAAATATGTCTTTAGCACTAGCTGTTTCTTAATTCTATAGACAATGATATTGATGTCAGTCTGTTAATCTGAGAATGGTATGTTCCAATATTTTATAAATAGATACGAAGACATTCTTTTATTTATCCACCTATGTTAAGTAAATACTAGGCGTACTTATAGCTCTTGTTACTCCAGATAGAGTATAGGAACCAAATCGGGTTTTATATATATAATTTGTGGCTAGTGTGGAAAGCAATTAGAATATAGAGTCATATTTAGGAGTCTCTCTTTATTCTTTTATTTCTTTTAGGTAGATTCTGTGGGGACAAGTTGCCTGAAGTTCTTACCTCTACAGACAGCAGAATGTGGATTGAGTTTCGTAGCAGCAGTAACTGGGTGGGAAAAGGCTTTGCAGCTGTCTATGAAGGCAAGTCCCATTCAGTTTTAGAGATTACTTCCCCTTAAGTCTCTTAGCTGAAAAGTCCTTTCTCTCAATTTCATTAGAATGATACTGTAACCACATTTAATTATGAAGTCTTCTAAATCTGTATTATAATATTCACAAAAGTACTTGGTAAAGTTAAATTGCAAGAAGAGCCTCTTTCCTGGTACCAGTGACATAGTAACATATAAATGTATGTAGGGATGTGGGGGGGGGGCGTGTGGAAATGGCGCAAGAGCTCTTAAATTTCCATTGTTTCCATGATAGTATTAAAATGTCATGAAGAAATTATGATTTTTTCTTTGTACTAAATTTGTGTTTATTTGGTGCCTATACTGCTGAAATTCTCTGTTATAGGAAACTGCACAGAAAGTACTTGTGCACATTTCTGGAGCATGCTTTGTCTAAGTGAGGGAGTCAGCATTCAAGGGAGAATTTACTAGCTGCTTTGTTCTATACTTCTCTGAAACAACAAACTGGCATTGTGTATCCTGGCTTTAAAAATCGCCCCCCTTTTTTTTTTGCCAGGTTGTGGGCAGAAGAGACCCTTCTTGTGCCTGCCTCTGCTAGCACAAGAGCTTAGGTAATTTAGAAGACAGGAGATTTCTGCTTCCCTTAAACTTTTAAGTAAACGGAAGCATTTTGTTGTAGAGATTAGCTGTATGGCCGTCAAGGGGATTATTTGGATGGGGCCACAGATGTTGAGCACATGATGCTAGCTCACATTGCCAGAGGCCCAGAGAGTTCTGTGGAGCGTCTCTCTTGATCAGCTATTTTACCTGAGCTCAAAAGACTGTAAGAACCAGTTCAGGAAATCATATAGAATATGATAGAATATTCTACCACATAGAATACATTTACAAAATCTCAAACAGTTTTTAGAAGTTAGAAAAAATACTGTTTTTTGTAAAGATGTGAAGAAACCGTGATAAAAAAATCATATATTCCCGTGCTATTATCTAATATTTATAGTTAACTGACTAGGTTTTTACCATCTAAATATTTACAGCAGTATAACCAGCCAACTTTGATTTTTTATAGCTGGTCTTTATATACTCAGCTACAGGCACTGAGCTAAAATGGTATCTCAGAAGAAAATGAAAATGAAATGTCAGGTCTAGGTTTATTTATTTGCGTATTTTCACCCTCAGCGATCTGCGGAGGTGAGATACGTAAAAATGAAGGACAGATTCAGTCTCCTAATTATCCCGATGACTACAGACCGATGAAGGAATGCGTGTGGAAAATAACAGTGTCAGAAGACTACTTTGTTGGATTGACCTTTCAGGCCTTTGAGGTAAAGTCTTTCAGGCACCCTTCACGGAACATATCCTCCATAAATGACAGTGCCATTTAAGGGGATCCTCATTAAATAAGCAAAGAACCAGAGAATCAGCTTTTTAATCAGCAAAGAAGCAAAGGATTGCCTATAAAATGTAACATCAAGAGTGAAAGAGGTTTTTTTTTTCTTCTTCTTTCCTCTTGTTGCAGACATTTTCAAGAAGATTAAAGTGAGTTTACATTATCTGTGCTATTTGAATTAGAATGTTTGAAGTACCGACAATAGTTTCTTTTGAGAAAGGCACAGGCTTGTTTCACAAGACTGCTTGAAGAGTCCATTAAATAATAGAACTTTTATTTCTCTTCTAAACTAAGAGGTTAAAAGGTAGACCATCATGTTGTTGTTGTTGTTGTTGTTGTTATGGAGAAAATCCATTTTTCTCCTTTTCATGATTATGCAGAAAACTGTTTATATCAGAAATAGAGATTTAAGTGTTTTTAGCTTTCAATTTCATCAAAAATATATATCAGGGAGGAGATCAGCACCAACATTACATTATTAGATGAAGGCACAATAAACCAAAGGTTAGTCAGAATTCTGGAGCAAAGTCTGGGTCCAAAACTACCAAGCTGGCTAATGAGTCATTTTAGTGGGGTTGGGGGAACTGAGTTAGGGATTGGAAGCCAAGAGATGGAGGACTTTGTCGTGAATTCCACAGCATGTTTAAATTGAAGAATCAGTCTAGAAATTGAGAGCCCACTGATGAAATGGGAAGGAATGATGAGATGGTGGTAGGTAGGTTCATCTCCAAATGCCATAACTGGAGATTATTTCTTCATTGATTAGAAGGCTCATTCTCTGTCCAAGCAATCAGAAGGCAGTGCCAGGGTATATCATTCCTGAGTGCAAGGTGTGTGCTGGTGTCTCGGCCCCCACAGCAGAAACATCAGGGGAATCCAGGCATTACCCATAAGCCCAGAGAATCTCTCACCTTCATGTGCAAGCTGTGTGATATACTTTATCTCCACCCCTTTGCATGTGCCATTTAATTTCCCAGACATACAGCCTTTTATCATGAAAAAATTGTCTTCTCTTATATGATCATGATGTTGTGTTATATGCTCCTGATCATTTTGCATTTTTGGAAACCTTGGTTCTTGAGATTATTTGATTCATGTTTGAAATTTGTTATTTTACCGGATCAATAATATTGCAAACATTATTCAAATAGACCACCTTATTGCTAACAGTGAACTAAAACTGGATAGGATTCACCTGCTATTTAGACCAAAATAACTGGTTCGGTGAAAAATTATCTACCTAATGACTACATTACTTGTATTTTGTGATGTTGCCCAAATGATTAAGAGATGAACTGTCTTTCAATATATAATTCAATTTTTTTATGAAATTCTCCTATTACATAAGTGATGTCAGAGAATGCATCTAAAACTAAATTCCATGCATCTAAAAACTGAGATACAATTCCTGAGATGCAGAAGGCTTAGTTGGTTTGCAGTTTTTTCTTTAATGCCAATATATTACAGTGATATTCTTCAAAAATAGGATAGTGAAAGTCAGGTAGGAAAGATTTACATCTCAGGCCCTTAGAACCATGCCTGACAGAGAGTAGTCGCTTAATAAATATTTGTTGATTGAGCAAGTGATTGAGATTTGGGATTGGGGAAATGTCATGCCATATTTGGCTGACAGCACATGTTAACTGTTATCTCTAGATTCCTGTCTTTTCTTCATCTTGCTGTATTTCCTTATGTTTCTTCCTCCTTTGTTCATATACTGGACATATTTAAATGTCTGATAGGTCTCTCATCTTCAGATGACCAGAACCAAACCTTTGATTGTCTTGTCCTACTCACTAACTCACTCTTCTTCAGTCTTCCAGATTTCAGTATTTACTATTTCGGTATGTCACTATTTACTCAAGAACTAGCCCTGATTCCACTTTTTCTCTTAAACCCTGAGGCCAGTCAGTTAACATATTTCATTTGCTTTGTCTTCAACAATGCCCCATACATGGCCACTTTATCCCAACTTTCTGGCCACTACTCTGTTCCCACTGTTGCTCCTTCTCTTGGAACTTGGTGAGAATGTCACCTCTCTACTCTTGCCCTGCTATCCTGATCCACAGCAGCCAGAAGGATACTTTTACAATGTAAGTTAGATCATAACACGATGCTTAAATTCTTTTGGGGTTGGGGGAGCACCTGCGTGGCTCAGTTGGTTAGGTGCCCAACTCTTGATTTTGGCTCAGGTCATGATCTCAGGGTTGTGAGATCGAGCCACACATCAGGCTCTGTGCTCAGCAGAGAGTCTGCTTGAAATTCTCTCTATCCCTCTCTCTTTCTCCCTTTGAGCCTCCCCCTACTTATGTGCTCTCTCTCTCTCTCTCTCTCTCAAATAAATAAATAAATCTTAAAAAAAATTCCTTCAGGGATTTTCTATCACACCTAAAATAAAGCCCAGACTCAGTGATCCTGGACCAAGGCAACCCACGCCTGGTCCCAAGCTCCTTCTCACACCCTCTGAGCTAATCTCTTTGGTCTTTTTTCCCTTCCTTGGAAATACCAAGTTTACTCGATCTTACAGCATTTGTCACTGATGCTCTTCTACCTCTAAATGTATGCTTCTATTCCTCTCATTTCATTTGGATCTCTGCTTCACCATTGCCTCCTTAAAAATCCTTGCCTGGTAACTCTATTTTAAATATATTCTTACCTACAATTGTCTACAAACCATTATTCTGTTTTAATTTATTGCACTTATCACTACTGGAATTTATGTTATGGATCTGTTAATTTACATGGTTGCTGTCTCACTAAAAAGGATCACCGCCAAAGGGTAGGGATCTTAACCTATCCTGTTGATCACCATATTTCCAACACCACTAGATGCATGATTAATACATGATGATGGGGGGAATGAAAGAATGGATGGATTATAGGTAAGGGAGTGTGAGAGTGCATGATGAATGGTGAGTAGACATTAATATATCCTTCCTTTATCAAAGATACGTAAATTTCTATGCAAAAGGAAACAAGCCTAGATAGCTAAGAAAAGTTTAGATTATGTAGGACCTGATGTGCCCTATGGCTCAATTTAGATAGATCCTCAGCTCTAAGAAATTCAGACGTGACAAGGAATTTAGAGATGTTCTAATGTATCATCTAAATCTTCTAGATAAGGGAAATGAACCTATGCCATTAACCTAATATCATATAAGCAAGCACTAAACCAGCACCAAAATCCAGGTATAATCAATATTCTTTATACATAGATTCTGTATCCGCAAACTTACATATGAACTAAAATTTATTTGTAACCTCCAAATCAATACTCATTGCTCTTTCTGGGTCATTCATGGACATGCACAGAACTGCAAAATATTTGAGTCATCTGACATTCACATCCCCAGCTATGATGTGAACGTGCCTTATGGAGAAAATGTATGTGTTAAATAAACATTGTTCAGGCATGCGTTATAATGCAGTTGGCTGTGAGTTGTATTAATGAATTGGCAACATATATTAAGGTGTCTTTAAACAGAAACACACATGAAACAAGGTTATGTATTGATTGGTTGACAAAAGATTTGTGATCAGAAGCTCACAAGAACCTAATTCTCTATTTTCCCAGAAGCAATGAATCAGTATTTACTAATTCAGTGTTTTCAGCAACTTTATAGAACTTAACTACCATGAATATTGAGAATCAACTGTGTATGTATTTTTAATTTGTTCTAGTGGTCATTAAGTGATTTTTTTCATTTAGTTGATTTGCATCTGTTTATATCAATTTATTTTTATTTACATATTTTTAATCTTTAGCTTTTACATTTTATTTTGAATATGTATAATTAAAAAAAAGTCCTCACCACTTCTCAGCATTTTGTGGTTTTGTCTGACTTAAAAAAGTTTTTATTCATTGATATCAGTCTTTGCCTTTATTCAAAAACTGTTTCTATTTTTGTAACTGTTTTATTCTCTATGTTACACTCTCCCCTTTCAGATAAAAAGGGGCTTAAGACAAATTTGTCCGTCATTTTTGTTGAACTCTACCATAAAGAACTTAATAGTTATCTGTTATTTATACCTTTCTGTGAATTTATGTTGTGACTTTATCTCTTCTCATGTTACTTAGATTTTAACGTGAGTGCAGAAAGAAAATCTGAACAAGGGTCTTTGTTAATGAATTTCAGGTATCTTTGAACGGGAAAGGATACTATTTGGAGGTCAATAGAGTTCTGATACATCTGTAATTATACCTTTGAGAACCTTTTTCTTCTCTAGTAGTTACTGACGCATTGCTTCTTAAGGCCGATACTGCAGTGGATTTGTACATGGAGGTAGATTATGTCAGAAATCATTTTGGAGTTATTTGTAAAGAAACCTCTATATTACTGTTTTGCTTGAGCACTTTCAGTCTGCAGAAATACAGAAGAGAAAAAGTTTGGGAGACTGGAAATGTTTATAGTAACAACTTCAAAGAAATGTCAATAAAGCAGAAAAGAAGTGAAATAAACCCAGAGCTTACTTATGTTTACATTGAAATCCCCACATACATTAATTTAAGTGGGATTAAGTTTGAGGTACTTGTCAGACTTTCTACACACTCTGATTTGGTTATACTTCCTTTATGAAAATCACAAATGTGTAATAGTCTTACCCATCATTACCGCAAGCTGCACAATTGTAAACTATGAACAAAAGTTCTTATCTTGATACTTCGAGGATTGCCTGACTAAAAGTAACCCCTTAATTCCTTTAAATATTTTATATTGTTTAAGTTAAGTAGTCTTTTAAATGACCTAGGAAGCCAAGACAAAGAGATCTTAATTAGTTAACATTTTTCTGTTTGCCATGCACTGTTTTTGGATGTTTGGCTAAGAATATATATACCAGGGGTGCCTGGGTGGCTCAGTCACTAAGTGTCTGCCTTTGGCTCAGGTCATGATCCCAGGGCCCTGGGATAGAGCCCTGCATTGGGCTCCCTGCTCG